GGAACCCGGAAAAGGCCAACCCTGTGAGATCGAATTGGTCTTTGGGAGGTAATTGGCAGGAGGCGGTCTCTCAGGTACCCAGGTCCGATGCCATGCAGGGCTTTATAACTAACGACTAGCACTTTGAAGCATGTCCGGAGACCAATGGGTAGCCAGTGCAGCTCGCGGAGGATAGGTGTAACGTGGGTGTACCTGGATGTACCCACAATCGCTCGCGCGGCTGCATTTTGGACTAGCTGAAGCCTTTGAACACTTATCAAGGGCAGCCCCATGTAGAGCGCGTTACAGTAATCCAGTCTTGATAGCTCCCTCTGGTAAGGGAGAAAATCCTACATTAGAAATTACGTTTGGTCTGGACATTTTCCCCCTATAAATAAATACCTGGGCAACACCGGGCTATCGACTAGTGATACAATGAACACAACTTGGTCACTGCTAAATTTTTCTAGTAATCTCTTACAAAGGAAACTAAAAGACAAACATCTGGACTTCCAGGAAATATGGCCGATTGAAAATGGTTCTGTGAAAAGTCGATCTAAAATAGATACAGCTGCGAATAGGAAGCTGGCGAGTAGATCAGCTACTTCAACCCTTTCTGAATAAAGAGAGGACCCTGGAGGGAGGAAGAATCAGGACAGGGGAATTTACTATAATTGCTCCAGTCACAAAGGAAGCCTTTTAAAAGGACATTTCCCTTGCTAATTATTTTTGGAAATTGCCGTTAACTCCTTCAAAGTGACCCAATTATAAACAATGTGGAGTGTCTTAAAGCCTTAATAGAAGAAAACAAAGATTTTTCAAATCTTTACAAATATGCAATAAATGGCAAAAAGCAAGAAAAGATTTTAGCTACAGAAAGCTTTAAACAGATTAAAGGCTTAGAAAATTATGGAATATCGGATTTTGAAGAATAATTTAAAATTAAATTTAAAGAATAAATACATCCTTGTGGGAAAGAAACCCTTTTTCATATTGAAGACATAACAAGACAAGCAATTTACAATGGCATTCAGAGATATCTTTGAGGAATTGAACTAGGACCGTGACGGCGAACATTGGGCACTCATGCCAGAGGTGGCACGCAGAGCCCTCTCTGTGGGCACACGCACGATTACCAGCTGCTCTTCTGATTTCCGGCGCCGGCCTGCTGGTCTTCATTGGCTCCAGAGCGCCAAAAAATGGACTGAAAGCAGCCCAAAAAAGGCCTCAAAATGGCCCGAAAAACAGCCTGAAAACAAGCAGAAAACAAGCATGCGTCTGCCGGCAGGCTGGTCTTCGGTTTCCGGTGCTTTGGCGCACGCACATGCACACACATTCCAGTTTGGGCACTCGATGCCGAAAAGGTTCGCCGTCACTACACTAGGATTTGATTATGCCAGCTTTGTTGTGTCTTGAGAACAGTCTGTTTCCCAGGAAAAGATGTTGCAAAAAAAGATATGCAACAAAAATTTTCTGAGAACAATATTGAGATTTTGAATAGAATTTGTCAATTGATACAAAAAAAAATATGGATGAGGCTTTAACAAATAAGAAGGAAATAAAAATAATCCCATAGAGCAATTGGAACTTTTTTTTTCTAGACTTATTATAAAATAGGCTGTATTGTAAAGTATTGAAGAAATTTGTAACAAGGATCCACAACCAACAATGGATTACAGAGAAAGATTGTTCTGTATTTAGGAAAGGAATACAAAGTCAGTTTATTTTACCAGATTTACAGCAAGAATCTTTTTGGATTCTGATAATCTGGAATGAAAAAGTGGCATATTGGATTTGCATACATTTAATATGGTGTTTAACCCTTTCCCCATACAAATTACTTTGTGTATTCCAATTTGATAGCATTTAAACACTATCCAGCTGTCTGTTACTTAAAGTAATGAAGTTTCGTAAACTTGTTTAAAAGATAAAATATGTTAAATTTTAGTCTTTTGTTTGTATTAGAATACTGTGATTACTTTATGGCTTAATGTGGATCTGTTTCTGTTTTATAGTTGAGATATGGAATGTTTATTGAATGGGATATGTTATGTAGGGTGGGTTTCTTTGGAATTGTTGGCATTTGTAATGGAAAATAGTTGTATATTGAGTCTTGAGAGAAATGATCCCTTTTTTCATATTAGACTTCAGATTTTTGTTTAGACTAGGATATCAGGACCATTTATGTCTTTTAAAAGGGAGTTTGCTTGCAGCTAAGAGTTGTCAGATATATTAAACTTATTTTAGAACTTTTGAGTTTTTGCTGATAACTGGATTGAAAAAGATGTTACTTATTTGATTTGCCTACTATTAAGATGTAAGTTATGGGATAAAGAGTTTCATAGTTGTTAATTAAGAGATTAAAAGATAATGAAAATGTTTACACTTGTCATGAAAGTGATGCTTTCTAGGGGGCTATTTTTATTTATGTGTTGCTTTATTGATCCTTTTTCCTTTTTAGTTCTGTAATTTTAATAAAGTTACTACAGAAAAAGGAAAGTAAAAGTGAATTGAATAGTAAGCAGCACAGTCATTGATTAAGATAGGGGGCTATACAAATTGAATAAATAGTAAATAAAATACAAAAATCTGAAATAGAAATGTACATTTCAATATACATGTGCTGATCTCAATCTGATAGTAGCACCTTGCTGATATTTTCTAAATTTGGAAACTGGTTTTGGAATCCAAGGATTATAGCAGATCTATCAAACCGACGGCCCACACATACGTCATGCACAAGCTACACCCACTCCATCTCTGTAAAGGCAAAAAACATCGTGATATGTGACGATCTGGCCTGTGACCTGATTCAGTTTGACACCCGTGGATTATAGGCTAGATTGTGAAGTGAAAGGGGGGGGAAACTACCCATCCAAATAATTTGTGAATTAGCTCTTTTCTCTTTTCCTTTCAAAGAAATTGCATGGATATATCAATGAAGTCATCAAGAGCTGAGCTTGATTTCAATATTTTAATACATACATTGGAAGAATGATGCTAAAATATCAGTGGCAGTCAGGAAGGAGCACACCTCCATTGCTACTTTTCAGATGTAGAGTCAATATTATTTCCTATTGAATCAAGGATTTATGATAAAATCCAAAAAGAACTTTAAAAAAACATTCCTAATTTTAATCAGGAATTTAATTGTCAAGAGTAACTCTTTAATATGCCAAGAATTGATGACACTTAGAAATCTTTTGCTGTTCACTGTTATTTTATCAAGTTACTCAGAAACCTGGTAATGTACAGTATCATCACAATTGAAAGGAAATGAACATCTATGCTCATACTATGATGTAGGAATAAAACTGGATTCATGGGTTTGATCCTGTTTATCACTGTTCTTATGGTGTTATTGGAGAGGTATCGGAATCCTGTCTTTGCAGCATTGTTTGCTTGTAGAAAATTTGCCTTGTTATTTATGTGTTTTCACTAGGCTAGGCTGGTGAGACAGACTAGATTAGGCTTGCAGCCCTGAAGTTCCCTTTTCTGCCCCAATGCTGAGTCTGCTTTTGATGTTCCAACAATTCTATATCCTTGGTTGTCATGAGAATAATCTGCCTTTCTCAACCAAAGTTTTAAAATAGGATTACTTTTCAATAAAATGAGAAATTTTATAAGGTTTCTTCAGCCATTTGTCTGAACATCTGATCTTAGTTCCAGGTATATTAGCACAATATTGTACTCTGTTTATACTAATGAGAACACTTTTGTTTCCTAAAGCACTGGTAACATTATAACTCTTGGGGAAATTTTGTTTTTAGTTTTGGGGAAAAGTACTATAATATTTTTGCCACTGTTAAATATTGAAATACCATAATAGAAGTGATTTACATGGTCTTTGAATAAATTGAATGCAAGGCATACCAATAGCAACAGATCCTCTAATCTTTTAATTTTTATATTACTTGAGAATTCTTCGTGCTTTGTTCATTTTTCTTTATTTTTTATAGGAGTGCTATTTGCTTTGAAAGTTCTTAATAACTATTACCATCCAGGGGGATCAACCAATATTATGGGCCTGAATGTATCTAATAAATACTCTTGTTGGTTGGAACTTCTAGCAATCCATATATTAAACCCACGGTAAGTCTGCTGTCAGTCATTTAGAACTTAAATTACTTTGTATATAAGTATATAGACATTACTGTAATGAATAATAGTTACATATCAATAAGTCCTCATCCAATCTGGATTGTGCTTTTTAAGAGAAAAAACATTGTTATTATAGAAGAAAATAGGGGATATAAGAAGGATTTTGCCAAAGTTATATATTTTTCAGGCTTGACATATGTGCAGAGAATTTGTGCATGATAATAGATAGGTTTGGCTATACATAAGCCAAGGTTTGCTTAATTATAATTAAACAATAAGCATCTTGCATTACCAATTTACCATGGTTTATAGATCACTGCCTCATTTCATACAACATATTCATAATCAAACATTACAGTTTAGTGAGATACATAGAACAATATCTGTATATTGAAAGTTTTATTAAAACAGAAGCAACTGCTCCTTCCTACACAGAAGTATATGGAAGTAGTGTTTTTCAAACAAATCCTCATTTCTCTCTTACAATTATTAGGAATATGGAAACAATATGATTTAAGCACTAGGAATACGTCATGTATCAGGATAGCTCCCTTCATTTTAGGTGGGGATTCCATATAATCATTCCCCTGAAATAACTTATCTTGTTACAGTAATTTGTCAGTTAAGTTAGCTTTAAGAGTAGTCATGTTGTAATCTGAAAAGGGTTTTTTTTTCTTATTGACATACCTTTCAAACGAAAAAATAACTTCAAATGGATTCGAATCAATCTTATCTACAGTTAACATTTGTTTCTTCAGGTCTACCTTTTGCTTTAGATTGTAATTTTTTATAAATACCTTTGATACTTGAGAATTCTGAAAGTATAGATAGAAAGATAATTTTACCCTTTTAGCTCTTTATGATCTAAATAAAGAATTTGGATATCAATGTAATTTAATGCAAAATGAATTATTTTGCATCATAATAGGACATTATTAGATCATTGTTATTTCCAAAAAATTTTGAGGTAGTGAAATGCATATGTCTCCTTTAAATATACTAAACTCTTAAAATTGTAAACATATCCAATGGAGTGAAGGTTAACGAGGCTACAGAAAGTTTCTGATCAGTAACAATACTTCTCACAGAAAATTGCTTTCATTTTAGGAGTTCTTTTGCAGGACATCTGGCAGGTATTCTTGTTGGCCTAATGTACACTATGGGACCCCTAAAGATTTTCATGACAGCATGTGCAGGTAAAAATTACCCTAAAACTTTCCAAGCATTTCTGTTTAATATAACTTTAAAGTGATTGTAAATTGTACTTGAGAATCTTAGAATTATGCCATTGGTTTCCAAATTTTTTCTTACCAGGCTAGGTAACATTTTCAGCAGAGTTTAGGGGACATCAGTGTCAGTGTTCTGTTTATAAGGGCTTCAGATGTGGTTATGTCTAATGAGGGTCTTGTGATGAGTCAGCTGTGAGTCTTGTGATTACCTGATGTAATCTCCTGATCACAAGACCCATCACTGCTGTCTCACAGCTGATCCATCACAAGAGCTTAAGCTCCGCTGAAGATGTTACCTAGCCTGATAACAAAATGTTTGGAAACCAACCCACAAGCTCGGAGAACTCACCCTCATCCTACAACCGAGCTACAGATATTTGCTACTATTGGATTTTATTTTAATGTTTAATGCTTAATGTTAAAAGCTACCTACTATGAGTGGTTGACAGACAAATTAGTGTAAATACAGGCAAATGAATAAATAAATTTGATGATCAAATAATGTACAATATAAGTTTTCTACTTTGCATATAGGACAAAAAAAGAGAAAGACTTTAGGTTGTTCTTGAGTCTTTTGTTGATGAAGGTGTGCTACTGACTGTGCCCATGATAGGAGGAGTGACTGCTGTAGATAGGTTTTCATAGAGGTAGTCCTCAACTTAACAACCACAATGTAGCGAAGAACTCTGATCATAAGTCAAGGCACGATGTAACCAGTTTCAATTTTATGATTGTATTTAAGTGGTCATAAAGTGAGTAATCCTGGTCATTAAGCAAATCACATAAGCAAGTAACTTCAGCATATATTGTACAATTGGTATTTTTTGCTTTTTTCCGGTTGGAAAATGGCAAAAAGTAGCAAATAGTCATGTGGCTTGTACCAGTTTTAGCTTTGAATATAGATCATAAATAGCTTTTTTGTGGTCTGTTGTAACTTTGAACAGTTGTTAAACAATTGATCACAATTGACTACCTGTAATCTACACAGTGAGCTCCTTTGAAGAATGCATTCTTGCTTATGGTGTTCTTTTGAATAGTACAGAAGGAAATTACATATTTTAAATACAAATAACTTGTACACTAGTTGTCTCTCCGAGTAAACTTGAATTAACATCACTCTCAATAGCCATGAGACATTTTGTACAGTTTGTTCCAAAGGTTATGCCAGTGTTAACCCTTTATTGTGTTGTTTTAATTCTGGAATCAGTACAATCAAATTAAAAAGCCAGATACTAAATAAAATAAATACATATTCCAACAGTTATCTATTGCTGTATATCCATTCACATATGCTGTTACAGGAAAATATCTTCATTTAAAATTTAATTGTATTTAAAATTAAAGCAACAAATTTGGTAAATATGTCAGGTAGGAATCAAAACAAATATAATTTGACATAGAACTTGTTAACAGTATAATATTTTACATGCTTACAAATACTCGTTATAATTTATTTCTAGGTGGCTATGTATTTCCAACTGGCTTTTCAGAACAAAGGAACAATTACAGAACAGGCGAGTAATTTGGATTTTAATCTTACTAGTTTTTATCTCAGAGAAAATTTTGTTGTAATCTGTAGGATTTACCTTGTGTCAATTGGTGTAGATTATTACTATCAGTTAGTAAAAAATAATTCACATCTTATTTCTTCTCTATTACAGTTTTAATGTATTCACAAGTCTGTTCATGTTATTGTTTAACATTTCAGTATTGCAGGAAATGTGTTCCATAAGATTGAATCCTTATTTATATTGACATTATCAGAAAACTTAAAGGATGTTTTATACAACTCTTAATTTAATCAAGCTTGGCATCCACACAGATTTTAAAAGAAAATTTTAAAAAAACTGTTGGTAAAAAATAGGACTGGGGATAGGAAAGAGCAGGATTTAACCTTTCAATAGGTTAACAGACAGCAATCCAGGTTTATTTATTGAGCTCCACAAATGCATTTTATATTATATAACATTAGATTCACAATTTAAAGAGAATCTCAATTCAGAGAGTATGTTTTCAGAAAAGCTGTTTTTATATTCTCAGTCAGGCCAGTAGAGGATTTTGTACTTTTGAGGGATAGACATATATACCGTATTTTCACCCATATAACCCGCGGGTTATATGCGTTTTTTGCATGCACAGCGCCCCCTGCGGGTTATATGCGTGGGCGGGGTGTACGGAAAATATTTTACACGATCGGAGGCTTGCACAGGCTTCTTTCTCCGTTTCTTCCCCCACCCCGATCTCAGCTGTTTCCTTCTCCTCCGTTCCTTTCCTCTTCCCCAGCTTGCGCAGGCTTCTTTCTCCGTTTCTTCCCCCACCCCGATCTCAGCTGTTTCCTTCTCCTCCGTTCCTTTCCTCTTCCCCAGCTTGCGCAGGCTTCTTTCTCCGTTTCTTCCCCCCCCATCTCAGCTGTTTCCCTTCTCTCTTACTCGTCGCGGGTTATATGCGTGGGCGGGGTATACGGGAAATATTTTACACGATCCGGAAAACCCGCGGGTTATATGCGTGGGTGGGTTATTTGCGTGGGCGGGTTATATGGGTGAAAATACGGTAGGTGTTGTTGTTGGTTTTTTGGGGGGTGGGGAGGAGGGGGGTGATGGCTTTCTAATCCAAGACAAGATGGTTCCCAATCAATTATCTTTCATTTGTGCTGTCTGGAAAGTGAGAGGATTATAATCTAGTTATATCAACCATAGCAGCCTTTTGTACAATATACAAGTGAATCTTTGTAGCATAAGACACTATTATTTATTACAAAGCACATATTTTACATGGAGCTTATGTTGCCCATTACTAATACATAGTTCTGTGCTCATAATATTTATGAGTCAAAAGAGGCAAAAATTGAATAGAATATTGACATGTTATGCAATGAAATATCAACTTGATAGATTTCAGTGAAGGAGACATCAGAGGAAAATGATTACTATTGCATTTGTTACTTTACATTAATGTAAGTATAGTAATTTTATAATATAATAATGATATTATGCAATGATATAATTGTTTCAATTTTGTAACAATATTGCTATGGTTAATCGGGAATTAATTATACCTAATCATCACAACAGTTTGCTTTGTTAAAACAAGATTATGCTAAGCAATTATATCTGTGATCTTATTTTGTACAGGGAATTTTAGATACTCAGGTAATCCATCCTATCGAGCAAACAACTATGATACGTATACTGGTGGACTCACTGAAGAAGAACAATTGGAAAGAGCAGTAAATAATAGCTTGAGAGAAAGAGGTAAGGCAGAATAGCTCTAACGTGAATGACATGTCATAAAATAAATGCATTTCTCTTTTTGGGATGAGAAGTATAGTTAAAAATAACTTCTTTTTCTCTTAAAATTGAGATTGTCCATTTCCTTCCATGGAAGTTCTTATTGCTCCTTATTCAAAAGATCATCAAAATAATACCAGAGAACCCCCTGATAACTTGATTCACTCTTATGAAAATAGCAGCAAAGAATTGCGGCACGGGCAGTTCTTGGTATTCCAAGAATGACCCATGTAATACCATTGCTCCATGAGCTGCATTGGTTGCTGGTCTGCTTCTGGGTGCAATTCAAGGTGTTGTTAATCATCTGTATATGATTACTCATGGTGTGTGCCCAGACTATGAGGGACCAATTCATCCCAATGGGATTGCCCTGGTCCACCCATTCCAGCAGAGGAGGCATGCTGCGGGCTCCATTGGCCTGGGTATTCCAGACAGCAGCATCCAAGAGAAGGGCCTTCTCTGCCATTGCAACCTGCCCTTTGAAACATCTTGCTCCTCAGGGTGAAGTCAGCTCCAATCCTCCTGACTCTCCTGTAAGAGCCTAAAGACCTTTCCCTACCAGTTAGCTTGGGGCCCCAATGGGTGAGTATCACAGTGAAGATGGTTGATAGTTTAACCACAGATCCAGAGAGAGAGAGAGAGAGAGGGAGGGATGGAGAGAGGGAGGGAGGGAGAGAGAGAGACAGACAGAGAGAGAGACAGAGAGAGAGAGAACCATCCACTGCTGCCTGGACATCAGAACAATTTGACAGCCTAAACTAGTTCTTGAACTGATTTCTTACATTAGGATAATGTATACTTCATTTGTTTTATATCTAAAAGGGGGATTTGGCTAATGTCTATGCCTCCTGCTTAATAAACAACAGTGAGATATAGCATACAGATGGATAAATGGGCACCTAGAGCCAGACTCTGGCTAAAGATTTTTGCCCTGTTCAGAGTTGAGTTGGAGATGACAATAGTGGTATGAGCAATGAGGAGAAGGAAGAACCTTGAGATGGTGGCCTAGAAAACATAACCAAGAAATCACTTTCCAATAGTAGTTTGCCTGACATCTGGACAAGAAGCTGCTGCTGTTGTGCTGCCCATCCATTTCACACCTAATAGTGTATGTGCTTTGCAGATGTCTACACAGAGCTGTTGTTACTCATATTGACCATGTGGCATTAGCAATAACGGCAAACTCTTTATGCTTCTATAGATGAGGTTTTGAATTCGGAAGGAAAAGTGGAATATTGTTTTCCTCTACTCTGCTGTTTGTATAATTTTTGATTATAACTGCAGTTGTCTGACGTGACTACTCTCAGACTGTCTGAAATAATAACACATCAATTTTAAGTGTCTGGAAGTTTTAATTTGCATAGTAAAGGCAAGAGGTTATGTGGACAGCATTTGTGGCTGCTTAAATAAATTCAAGGGTCAGCTGCCCCCAAGCCCTTATTTTTTTATATCCCAAAACATTTCTTTTCTGCATAACTCGGGACTTTCCCATTTCAATAGCTGATTGTACTCTCTCAGTTTTTCTCCTAATAGAATGCAAGTATTTAAAACTTGTGCATATCCTCCAGTTTTTGGCCAGGATGCAGGAAGTGCCAAGTGCTGCCTCTTACATTGTGTTCAGTAAAGGTTTTAAATAGCTCTGGATGCTCATTAGTTTGTGTTCCCAGGAAATACAGTGACTTATGATTGGCTACTGTTTAAAAAGCCACAGCTGTGTTAGTTTATTTCATGCAAGAAAATTGCCACAAAGTCAGAAATGTGAGATATTAATAATATGTATTGTAGTCAATAAGAAAAAAGATGTCATAATTATGGTATCTCTAGTCAGTACAAATAAATAACTAGAAACAGATGAATGCTGAACACCCTAACTGTGTGGAGACACAAGCCTAAGAGTTTGTATGTGTAACTAGAACAAGATATTTACTTGCATTTTAGAGCATACAATTCTAGAAATTTTGTACCAGATAGGAATAAAACTTCATATCTCATTCTTCACTTTGTCAGACTTTGTTTTGGTAAAAATGTAGAGTCATAATTGTTATAATTAACTGATACTCTATTATTAAAATAGGTTTAAAAACAAAAATATATTTATCTCTTCCTCATGATGCATCTTGCAAAAGATGGATAACAAAACACTATGTAATCACTTTGACCGCATAATATCAAAAGGATAAGAAGGCAAAAACATCTGAGTTGTTGCTTCGGTGCAGGAACTCTAGTGAAAAAGTTTATAATGTGAGAAAGCATAAAATAGCATTTGATATTCTTTTTAATAATTCTTAATATTACTACATCTAGAATAAGAAACATAAACATTAATTTTTTAAATAGTATTTAATTTTTCAGTTACAAGTGTAAATATATTACTATACTTTTGGTTCCTCCCTCCCAAATGTTTGGCAAACCAATTTGTAACACAAAGTTTTCATACATCCTTATATTTATTATGAGTGCAGATAATACATTTTGGAAGTTTGCTTTTGATTGCTAGAATAAATGTTATTCATAGCACAATGTTTGGGGTCACTATCGCTTGAAAGCAAAACTTGTCTGGCAGGTTTTCTTGCTTTGTTAACCACTGGAAATGTGAACTTTACTTTGAATTGGCACTTAAAATCTTCTATTATGGTTGTCATAACCATCTATTAGATTATGTGATGAGATACATCCATGCTCTTGCCCCCCAATGCCAAAAATACTTTTTAGAAAAATTTATAGAACAGTCTATGAAAGCACATGCATTCTTTGACAAGGCAAAAAACTGCCTCTGACAGTGATAGTTAACCTTTTTGTGCTCACATGCCGAAAGCACATTCCCACACCCATAATACAATGTGCATGTGCCCCCCTTGCAACCCTCTGTGCATGTGCCCCCCATACCCCATTTTGGGCCTAGCAGGCCTCCCTGAAGCCTCCTGGGACCAGCACCCTCGTGCTCCCCCTCTCCCGGTGCATGCCTACACTTTTACAGGAGTTGTCGGCCTTGTATGCAGCTTTATTCCTATCTAACATTCATCTCCATTGTTCATTGATGCATTCCCTGCCTCTCTAGGATTTACCTCTATCTGCTCCTGTGAGGCACTTCCTGTTCCTGTTGGATGTATATCGAAGGCTTGTATAGTGTTTTGCAGAGACCTGAAAATCAGCTAGCTGGCAGCGCATGCTTGGTGGAGCTCAACTGGGGCTCAGGTGCCAACAGAGAGGCCTCTGTGTGTTGCCTGTGGGCCGTGTGCCATAGGTTTGCCATCACGGGCCTATGACTTAGAAAAGCTCTAATTAGAAAAACATTTAATTACCATTTCCTGATAGGATGTGCTTTGTTTCCTGCCCCATATAATAAAACTACTGAGGCTTAAATCAGTACTAATGTCAAAGAACTGATAAATAAAATATTCTCTACTAAAGTTATTATAATGGTGTATGAGAAGTTATGTAATTTTGTGTTACAAAAATGTTTCTTGATTAGGCATCTTCCAGATATGTTTATTTACTTATAGCTCCTAAAAGCAATTTAAATCTGTAGAAACATTAATGCTGATAATTTAGGCATACCCGTATATACTCGAGTATAGGCCGACCCAAATATAAGCCGAGGCACCTAATTTTACCACAAAAAACTGGAAAAGTTATTGACTCGAGTATAAGCCTAGGGTGGGAAATGCAGCAGCTACCGATAAATTTCAAAAATAAAAATAGATACCA